AGATCCCAGTGTTTCGCGGTGTTACTGCCTGCAAGATTGATATTATAGCAACACTTTTTGGGTGGTGTGTAGTTTTTATCATCTTTGTTTTCCCGCTTTGTATCTTTTTAAAAAAAGTTAGTTCATCAATTAGTTTCATTGGTAGTCGTGTGTTTGTGGTTGCTCGGTTATGCCCCCCCCCCATGAGCTCACTGAAATGCTGCAAGGCCCCAACAACATTCCTTTCTCAGATGGATACTTGTTGTTCCTCTACAGCTTAGGAGGAGGCCATAAGCCACGGTCTTGCTCCATTTACAAGAACGTTATCAAAGTTGCTCTGCACAATTGGCAATCTAGGCTGAAGTGGTTCCTTTTGCATTAATCCTTGAAAATGGTAGATTCAGTTGTAGAACTGTCGACTGACTCGACACCTGAAGCTTCAATCATCTCCTATTTGATGCCCTATAACAATCAGAGATACAGACCAAGTTGTCCCGGGATTCAACTGAGCTGATCTCATATAGAAAAACCAGTATCAGTTTGCCAGTTCTGAATGCATCAGTTTCAACAGCTTCAGTTGTTGAATCAACTTTGATTGTGGGAAAGGAACAGTAGGATTTGGATTCAGATTCTTCAAAGGCAAAGAACGCAAAGAAAGTTTCTACTGAACAGCCTGCCTGACGATAAGAGAACTATAGCACTCACTCATCTTCCAACAAGAAGCACTTTTGTTGGTGGCATGTGAGATCCATTCAGCCAGGTATGGCACCAACTGTGTGTGGCAACAACCGTAGCCACAGCTGTAGCCCTTCAGAGGTACGTGTGGGTGCTTTATTAGAAATTTTGGAGGAATCCCACTCAACAATTGAGGATCTCCCAGTCACAATTCTTTGTATTAAATTCGCACGCAAGATTGCTGATTCGCCAACATTGGCAAACTCAGGTTGCAGTCCTTCCAAGACCATCTGACTCAGCACAAGGGCTCTGTTCTCCACCCAGACCTGCCCATGCTGAAACTTGCAACTTGGAGAATTTACCGGCATTGGCCAAAGCTTTGGTGGAAGCAAGGAAATCTTCTGTTAGACTTCTATATGTGTGCAAATGTATGGCCATCTGTGAACTCACACATTCCCTCGTGCCATCCTTCTGCCCATCACATACAAATGTTTTTAGGGGAGCATGGTGGAGAACTGAAGGAGGGTGGCTGTAAAGCATCCTAATTAGGAGACAGAGTGGAGTTTACTGGTATTGCAGGGCTCTAGACATTTCTGAGTCACGTTGCACAAGCACAGAATGAACCCAGTGTGTGAATTCACTTGACGAACTACAGTTACAGTTAAGTAACCAGCCCATTGTAGTAACAGTACTTTTTGGTCAGAAGAAATGACTGAAGGAGAAGATAGTGATTGAAGAATATTAAAAACAAGCAAAAGCAGATTGTAAAGCATTACAAAGACAAGTCAGTACAAAATAGAAAAGAGACAGTTTAATTGAGAGGGACAGCTGGTATAGAAAGTAGAATATTAGAATAAAGGTACAATGAAAGAATATACAAGAGTTTTTGATGAATCGTTGGGGAGAGATAATGGGTACCTGCACCTTATTTTGTGAAGAAATCGAATTGGAGCAGAGGGATCATAACTTTGGTCTTAGATGTTAAGGCCTGGCAGTTCTACTCCCCCATTGAATAGGAAACAGAAACATTTGATTCATCCCCTCCTTCAATAATTTGATAAATGTACATCAGCTTCTATAAGCTTCCACTAGTTCACCCTGAGTTTTCAAAATAAATCTTCTCATATTCTTGTAAGAAACTTAAGAGACATTTTAAAAATAATTTTGCTTTCCCTACAGTTATTTGAAGAAATGCTTTAAAATCCAATACCGAGATGCCAGCATTCAGCCTATTTTTATATGAATAATCTAATACTTGCCACCCAGAGGTCCTTAGTTTGTTCTTCTGCCAAAGATGTTGTGCAGAGACAGCATTTTTTTTAGTACAACCTCTTCAAAGAAGTCTTACTTTGGTGCCAGCAGTTTCACATTTCTGTTGCTGAAAGATTACTGGAATCTGCCTCATCAGAGGATTTGTAGCTTCCCAAAAAATTATTAGGCTGCCAAGAGACTTGCTATAATTTTTGTGGCTAAGTAGCAGGTTTTTGTTATAATGCTTGTTTTTTTAAAGGGCTTAAAATTCTGAAGCCTATAAGGAATGTTAAAATAAGTTACAAGTAACTGCAGTAAGAAAAATTGTTTCTTTTGGGGACAGTCAACCAATAAAGAATTTTAGTTTCTTAACCTAAAAGACGTGGTGGCGCTGCGGGTTAAACCGCAGAAGCCTGTGAAGTCGTAGGATCGAATTCACGCGACGGAGTGAGCACCCATCACTTGTCCCAGCTCCTGCTAACCTAGCGGTTCGAAAGCATGCAAATGCGAGTAGATTAATAGGGACCACCTCGGTGGGAAGGTAAACAGCGTTCCGTGTCTAAGTCTCACTGGCCATGTGACCACGGAAGATTGTCTTTGGACAAAACGCTGGCTCTATGGCTTGGAAACGGGGATGAGCACCCCCCCTTTACCTTTAACCTCTTTTTAAATGAGTTCATTGCTTGATTGCATGTAAATATATGTGGAACATATCGTTAAAGGTGGCTTTTTTGGATCATAAGGTAATCAAAAGAGAATATATAATTTACAGTGTTTAAAAAAAGCAACACTGCCACCAAGGTTCCCTCTAACATGTGCGTGGCTCCGCCTCCCTCCATACATCTTTTCTCCTCCTTCGCACATCCCCTTTGGTTCTGGCTGCAGTGGAACCCCCCCGTGCGTGCAAGGGAGGGGCGGAGTTGCCTGTGCATGCAAGGGAGACGTTATGTGTGTGAGAGGGACGGAGCCCCGCCCAGTGGGGCTGAAAATTACAGGGTGCATTGACTGCTACTCCTTGTAGAAGGAAGCGCCATACTGAACACAAGTGGGGCTCTAGAACAAATTGTTGCATTTCTTGCTTGTTTCTTGGTCCCAACTGCTCTATTCTGTTCTTCCCATTAGTTTATTTTCTCTCCATCAGGTGAGCCTCCTATGGTGTTGGCACATGTTCAGTTTTTATTTCCTCTTTTTGGTTTGGGATACTTTGGATGTATTTATAGTGGACATGCTGAAGCTCAAGCGTAATTGCCTTCAAGTACTTGGGTACTCAGTTGATTTCTATAGGCAGTTCCTTCTTCCTAGGATCATTTTGAGTGTTTCTTAGGAAATGTTCCTTTGTACTCTTTATTTTACTTGAGGTTGTTCCTTTTCTAGTCTGGTTACTCCACTAGATTCCCTCTTTTACAATCAATTTTAATTTTTGTCCCCTTAGAGGCTTGATTTTTTAAAAAATGCTTGCAAACCTTGAGGTTACTCCACATCTGCTGATGGTTCTCCCTTGTGCATGGGTAATGTACCCATAACGTACTCACTCCACAAACACTGGAAAACACAAATCACTATTAGAATGAGTTTCCTTCTTCTTCGTTCTGTGTTACAGTTAATACACCAGAACTGAAATGGTCTTTAAAAAATAAACAAATGTGCCTTCATCTTGCTCTTCTACACATTACAATTGGTCCCCACTGATTGATCCACAAGCTATGGTTGATTAATCTACCAATTTAAAACAATTACAGCATACAGAGCTAATGCAGTCTTTTCCATCTGCAGTTTTATTAGACTACAGTAATGTTCCCAGATGTCAGTGATTCAGGTTTATTTATGCATGCAGGGAATCCCATTGTGTCAGAGGATTCTAACTTTGTTCTCGATCACAGTTTGTTTGCATTGACACAAACAAACAAACAAAGGATCATAAAGCATAATCTGTTTCTCCAGAAGCTGAAGTCATATGACTTCATCTCTAGATCAAGCAACTTGATAATAGCAACAAACTGCGGATGGAAAGGTGTTGCAATGCATACCTTTATCCCTGAATAAGATGTCAGCGAGGGTAGCTCAAAATGTGATAAAATGCTGCACTGGGTTCAGCAACAAACCAGGATGGCTGTCGCTGGTGATCAAATCTTTGCAGAAACTGCTTGAGTGTGCTCCTGGTGTTTTTGTTTTGGTTTGTTTTTGCTTTCTCCAGGCAGATATGAGATTTGTTGGCAACTTTTGGCAATTAAAGAAAAAGGAGCTTTTAATGGGGTGCTGGGGTGCTTTTTTTAAAACAGTTTTTAAAAGTGTTTTAAATTAATGGTCTTTTAACAGTATTGGACACTTGTCTGCATTTTCAGAATTACAAATTATGTATCTGGCTGAAAGATAGTAGTAAATTGCAACTAGTGTCAGTTGGGATTTGGTGACTCAGCTCCTCTGTAAGTTCCTTTTATTCAACCTTACCACCTGTAGGCCTACTCTTGTTGCAACTTACTACTAGATTTCACAATGTATTTTTGCCATACCGCCATTTTGTAAGCTGCTTTGGGTCCTTGAACTGGGAAGAAGGGAGTGTGTAAGTGAAATAAAATGAAACAAACAAGGCAACACAGCAGAGATGGATGAGCTGACAGCATTTTGTTTGGTATCCCTACCACAAAACCAGAGACTGGTATCATTTTGTGGACAAGGAATAGAAGAGGTAAACTGTGTAGTCATGCCTCAGTATGATGGATGCTGCTTATGTTTTATAATTTAATGTTTTATTCAAACCTTATTTTAAGCACAAGTTTTGTGTCAGAGGGAGAGAATATCCATTGGAATTAATAAAACCAATATAGAACTTTGGCTCTTCTTCACCATAAGGAGAATTTCAATGTGTTTATCTTTAATTTGCATGTGCAAACGGGAAAATCAGGTCTTTTGAAAATCCTAAGGGATGTATTTTCTGCTTGGTGTAATTTTAATTCTAGTTTTGTTAGTTTGCAGATTTGTATAATTTTGCCCTAGCTTCAATAGACATGCAGGCATGGCAACTCAGTTCTTGATCAGCAAATACATGTAATATATTTGCTGGCACCATAGTTTATTAGTTTTCTCCTTAATTTCAGAGCTGCATACATCTGAGACTGGCATGGCTGAAAATGAAGTCCCACCCCCTTTGCCTCCACATCCTAGTGATGAGCTGCTCACAGATTATAATCACAGGTTTGAAGATATTTACTATTTATGACTATTTCTAAAGACAGAAAGTTTTTTAAAAGTATTCATGATATAAACACGCTTTACTTCATGTTGTAGAAGTTGTAGCAGAACATATTCATTTATTGCTTACATGGGTTTAAGAAGTAGTCGTTCCGTATGCACTGAAGAACCCTGAAATATTGTGTGTGTGTGCGTGCGTGCTTCCTTGTATGGAGTTCCAAAATGCTAGCAGGAATCTCTCTACCTCGGACACGCCAGTCTCTACATGGAGAAAACAATGAGGAAAAGTAGAGGTGCCAGACACTCTTTTCTAAGTATACTCCCTAGAATCAATTAAGAAATGGCTGAAGAAGGCTTATGTTGTCATTAGTGCTCATTCTCCCTTTAGAGAGAGCTGATGAGAAACTTCCTAGAAGTGAGTCAGAGCTCTAAAGTTTAAATCCAACAAAGATATCTAGTGAGCTGTTATGGTTCTTGGTAGTAATTGTTTGTCTCAATTAAAAATCGGCACTTCTTAAAAGATTTTCCAGACACTAAGTTACAGTGGGGTCTCTACTTAAGAACTTAATCCATATTGGAAGGTGGTTCTCAAGTAGAAAAGTTCTTATGTTGAATCTGCATTTCCCATAGGAATGCATTGAAAACCATTTAATCCGTATCTGCTCTTTTCCGTCCATAGAAACTACAGTATATGAAATTTACAGGTATATGATACACAATATTATGGACAGTGTGGGCGTAACTACAGGGCACTTTCTTAGATGCCATTATAAAAGGGCATCTTGTTGTCTCCCTCTCCTAAATTCCAAAAGGAGACACATCAATACATATATAAACTGTTGTGAACACTAGTCACATTCTCCACCTGAATGGCAGTTGGAAATGATTAAGAATCCTAGTTAAATGGGGAAATAATTTAGTCTTAACCACAGTTAAGATGAAAGGAGGAAACAGAAGCTTGGAATCCCGCTGCTCATTCCCAGTCCTGGCTGTAGTCAACAAAGACCTTCCACTGCATCTGATATATATTATATTAAATAGCATTACTACTATTTTTGTATTTCAGTACTTTAATGCACTTGGTAAACTTTTGCTGCATTTACAAAGTGGATAAATAAAGAGAAAACCAATACTTTTGGAACTGGCTATAGCTTCCTTAAGTAAAATCCAACTTTAATACAGGCAGTGCCTCCTGCACGAAGCATGAATGATTTATGATATGCAGCTAGGGGAAAATGCATTTATATTGCACAGGGTTTAATTACTTCATTTATTTTTGCTGGTGCCTATTTCTTTTTCTTCTTTTTCTGGTATGGCTTTTTTTCCACAGCTCAGGAGCAGATTCAGCAGCATATTTACCAGATCAGCACATCAACTTCAGATCCTTGGCACTGGCCAAGCAGACAGAATCAATTAATCTGAAAGCCTCCAAGAGCATGGATCTCGGTAAGAAGGGCTGGGATGACAGTAATAATCTTCTTTAGCTTCACCATGTATTTCATGATTTTCTTTCTGCATTGCACATAGCTTGGAAGAAAACATTGACTGGAGCCAAACAAGACAAAAAGATCTGTCCGTACAATATTTTCTTTTAATTTTTCTTTTAAATGCAAGTGTAATGTGGCAAAATGTAGTGAGCAAAATCTAGAATCTAAAGCTGGTCATTCGAAAACTTGAGCTCCATACAATGAAGCCACCTTACTGCTACCATACATGTGGAACCATTTGCCTCTTTCAATGAACTATTGAAACAGCACCTCAAAAAGAAATACTTCCTTGTCAACTCACCTGAATGAAATAATCACATTGAGAACTTCTTGGTTCACCTTTCTGGACATGTGACTGGTGGGAACACTGTGACCTGCTAGCTGTTACAGCTGTGCCAAATGTATTGAAGTGTGGTAGAAAGTAATTTCCACTCTGTAAGTGCAGTATATAACAATTTCATCTAAAATTGTTTTCTGTGGAGAAAGGTGGCAAATCTTTTGCACACAGTTATTGTGGAGTGCAGGTGAATATTTCAGTCTTGGTTTCTGTTTTGTCACCAGCCAAAATAAATCACCACTAGTAATAAAACAGGCCAGTAATTCTAACTGTATCTTGAGGCTCCTTACCTTCTGATCTCTCGCCCCATGTTAGTACCACTTATAGTAATGGAGCTTCTTCAGAGGTAATAAAACTGGCAAATATCTGTTGGCTTAATGCAGAAGAGGGCAACATCTGCACTGCATGGAGGGGGGAGAGGGTTGGAGTTTTTAGCTGCTGGAATTAACTTAAAGTTTAAAAAAAATTCTTTTGATAGTAGAACTTTCAGTCCTAAGCACACATGTGTAAAAATCAATCATAGTCAACTATGCAATGATATGTTGTGAAAAAGAAAATACATATATGCTATTTGTCCTGGTTGCTGTATATTGCAAATAGTCATAAAATGTAAAAATGTAGGGAACCGTTTCCTTGGGAGTGATCATAAAAGTTAGAATGCATTGTGAGAGATGCTTCCCTACCCCAGGATGTTTGGAGAACACTAAAGTTAAGAAAGTACCCTAGTTGTGTTTAATTAGGCATCCTAAGCTGCTCAAACCTCTCCAGATTTCATAAGGAGAACTTTTGCAGGCTTAGATGGAGATGGATTTCGCAACAATAGTTGCTCATCTCCAAGCTGTTTTTTCCTCTTTATTTGTCATCCCTAATCAAAGTCTTAATCAGGAAGAAAGAAAGCCTTGGGATACTTTGAGCCATTTCCTATTTCTGGATTGTTGCCAGCATTTCCTGCTTTCTCCTGTAAGGCTTATCTTTGTGATCTTAACTAGAGATGGGCACAAACCATGAACTATCCAAACTTTAAAAAAACACGCACACACACAAACCAGTTCATTTTTTAAAATAATTGTGCCTGGGTGGAGGGGAACTAAACCCCTCACCCCCAAAGCTTGTCCTCCACTGCATCCATCACCTCCTTACCTTGTCCTGTGGGAGACAGGCTGTGGGGGCGATGGGCAACAAATCAGGAATCTCATTAAATTGTTTTAAAAAAAGTGGTTCAGGGCAGTTCAGGCTCATTGTTTTTTATTAACCTGTACCAACATGAACCAGCCATTTTTAATGAACTACCTGGTTCATTTAGTGTATGCCCATCTCTAACCTCTTATGGTCAGTAGGCGAATATTTTGACAGGACATGTTAGAGATTTCTCATTAATAAGGTCACCATAGTCAGAGGTGACTTGATGGCACATAAGAACAACAGCTAGTTACAGGGCCTAACAAAAAAAGTGTTCTCCCACCTTTCTTTCACTACAGTGCTCCAGCAGAGTTAAATAACTCTGATATAAATTTTAAAAGATGTGTGTTTTACTGTGTAATTGTTACTATTACTACTACAACAACAACAACAACAACAACAACAACAACAACAATAATAATAATAATAATAATAATAATAATAATAATAATAATGAATTGATTCATAATGAATTTCACACAGTATTATAAGCAGTTGCAGTTTTTTGAAATAATACCACCAGGAAAAAAACCAGCAATATTAGGAGCAGCATACATACCGCACTGATTGTTGGCTTCCCAACAGTGTAAGGGATTACACAGGAACTTTAGGAGCTTCAGGAGAAAAGTCAGAAATGTTTGATTTCTGAAAAATTGCTGCCATGATGTCATCAGCATTATGTAGCATAAGTTATGCTGGGACAGGATTTTGGTCAGTATGTCACATAAATTAGGTGTATCTTTATGGGGAACAATAGTCTATCAGTTCTAGTCCAACGGGACTTTAAGAGGGTATCCCCTGCTATTATTGTATTGTTATTATTGTATTGAAAATTAGAGAAAGTTGGAAGTTGAAAGTTGGAAAGTTGGTTTACAAAGCAACAGAACTGAATGAATGTCGAGCTTTGCCTTTTAAACCTGGAGGGTTCTCCAGGATTTTTGATCCTTCCACAGATCCTATCTATGAGGTTTAGTTACATGACATTGATTTTAAAACCCCGCATCTCAAAAAATAGATAAATGGATTCCTTAGGATTCCATACTGGATTCTGGATTCTGTGTTTGTCAAGCAAACATCTGGAATTCAAACAGCCGTTTTTATATTCTTAATTGCTTTACCAAGAGGTTCTAAAGAAACACCGAGCAACTAAATGATTCACAGCCCCACATACTCAGTATGGCTAAAAACTAGGACATTCAGTTGATGGGAGTGGGGGGAGAATCACAAAGCATATGCACAATATAACTTTTACTTCATCTGTTTTCTGCTGAGTTTGATGCATGCAAATGTTTATCTCGCAAAAGGAAGTTCTCATCCTAGAATCCCTGAAAGGGCAGAATTCTGAGCATTTAGGGAAAATAAATAAATAAATAAATAAAAGGAAAATATATGTGTAGGTAAAACTGCTTTCCTGTCTAGCAAAAATAGATGTTCCCCTAATGCTTTGAAGGTAGCTGACATCGTAAGCCAGTTCAATTGCTCAGTCGGGCTGTTTAACTATTGGTATAAATATCCACACATGAAAGATGGATAGATAAAGTACCTTTGTATACTTATATCGCTCCTCCAGTGGGTTGGTTTGGTTTTTTTAGCAAAGCAATAAACAAAATAAATGTGCATACCTCTTCTTGTGAAGGTTAATTATTTATATAGTAAGCACTTGTTTAGCCAAACCTGAGAACTTACATTGGCCTAAGAGAATTGGAATTTAACCATTAGTTCATTTGTTAACTGAATGTCATCAGAAAATACTTGGCATGCAGAAATTGGTGAAAGATGCACAATTATAAAACTCCTTAAACAATCATTATTGATCCCATAATTTAATTATGACTTCGCCCTCTATAATCAGATTAGTGTTCCTGTATTATTGATAATTTATGGGAAAGGGGTGAAATATCAGCTAGGAATGGCCTTTGTGCTGGGATTGCGTGCACTGACAAGAATTTCATGGCTTCTGAAGCATATTAGAATAAATGATTAAAGAAATGTAAGAAATGTGTGGGTTTTGTCCCGGAGGGTATTGGCAACATTTGGACAATCATATCTTGGTTTATTAAACTGAGATGTGGCTGGACCTTCTTTTTCTGCAGATGCAACCCCTTCACAATTTATTTATTTATTCATTCATTCATTCATTCATTCATTCATTCATTCATTCATTCATTTATTTTATATCCCGCCTGTCTGGTCGTGTGAGGACCACTCTAGGCGGCTAACAACATAACACATAATACAATAAATATACATATAAAACAGTTTTACATTACCAAACATACTAAAATAGAATAGAAAAGATGTGGGAAAGGGAAAAGAAAGGACGTCAGGAATTATCTGATGGGAAGGCCTGCCTAAACATCCATGTTTTTAATTGATTCTTGAAAATACCCAGCATATCACAATACATAGTGATCACTCCCCAAAGCCTCAAAATAAGCTTGGGTTCCAGTTTCACCCAAAGTTGGAAATTATTGCTGCCAGCTTTGGAACAAGCCAAAGTGTATATATGCTACACCATTACTGTATAGCACTTTGATTCCTCTTTTAACTGCTGTGACTCTATCCTCTGGAATCCTGGAATCTGTAGTTCAATGAGATGCTTGGAATTCCTTGTTAATGAAAGCCCTGAGTGTCTTTGGCTAAGGATTCTGAGCACTTTACCAAACTACCAGTGGCCATGATTCCACTGGATGCAGTCATGGCAATTCAAGTAAAAATGTATCACTGTTACTGGCTCACATCCTGTTGTGCAGTTAACACCTGTGGAAGGCACATGATGCAACTTGTAGCAACTTCTTACTGGCAGTTAACAAATTCCCACTTGGGCTTTTAGGTATGCCCCAAAGAAGCGTTAAAAAGAAGTATGGTCTCTGGTAGAATTGGGCACCATTTAATACTAAAAGCAGGTGCAATATACTTTTCATCCAGCTCCTAAAAATAATTACGTGATTTGTCAGAGTCGGTATTTAGATTACCAGAGAATTTTGACATTTGTTACTTTCACATATCAGGCTCTCTGTCATGAACCTCAATCCATCATTTTATTGAAGAGAACTTTCTATAGAAAAAAAAATTAACTGATTTATATCTTCAATTTCTATAAAAATAAATTAAATTACTTCCTGCTATGCTGTCCAGCTCTCTACAGTGGTGACAGGTGTATCCACCATGTGATACTAAAGAAAATGAAAATGTAATTCTTTCACTTCGTATATTTATAAAGCTGTATTTTCCCCATTACTGCTTTTGTCCTACCTTTTGTGTTTAAACCCCATACTCATTCTGAATACACAACATTGTATATGTTTGTTGCACATATAAATGAATCAAAGGTTAATGTCCTAAAGCTGTAGTCAGTCTATAAGTCATGTTCTAGGCATGAATGATACTTTTGGTATACATGTACTTGCTTGGCCAGTTACTTCTTCATAGACCTAAAATAC